CTTTTTAAAATAGGGCAACCCGGGTGGCTCAGTGGTTTAGCGCCTGCCTTCAGCCCAAGGCCCGATCCTGGAGACCCGGAATCGAGTCACACGTCAGGCTCCCTGCAGGGAGCCTGCTTCTCCCTTTGCCTATGTTTCTGCCTCTCTCTCTCTGTCTCTCATGAATGAATAAATAAAATCTTTAAAAAAAAATCTTTTTTTTAAATATTTTATTTATTTATTCATAGAGGCACAGAGAGAGAGAGAGAGAGAGAGAGAGAGAGGCAGAGACACAGGCAGAGGGAGAAGCAGGCTCCATGCAACAAGCCTGATGTGGGACTCGATCCCCTGTCTCCAGGACCACACCCCGGGCTGCAGGCGGCGGTAAACCACTGCACCACCAGGGCTGCCCAAAAAATCTTTTTAAAATTAGTTTCAAAAAATAAAATAAAAATAAAATATTAGTTTTTTTCCTTTCTCTCCCTTAAAGAGATGATTTTCCTGACTTAATGCCTCCCCTGTTTTCTCCCTGAGGAAACACAGTCATATAAACATCCTAGAGTCTAGCACAGGTAGGAAATCTTCCCAATTGTTGGATCTGCCAACATCAAGCAACTACAGGCTATGGAAGATACAATACACCTTTGATCATCCATGGTTACAATCTCTGGTCACTCTTATACTTCCGAAATCAAACAACCTCTTCTGATTTTACTCACTGTGTTAAAACAGTCTTACTTCCTTGCTTTACCCTAACCCCTGCCCAAGAACTGACCTGGTCAACAGCTCTCACGGAAAAACTCACTCTCTCACCCTGTTCTAAACTTCATCAAGAACTACCTGTTGGAAATTGAACACCAATAAAAATTAATTTATTAAAAAAATAAAAAATAAATAAAAATTCTTGATTTTAATGAAAAAAAAAAAAAAGAACTACCTGCTGGAATAAATAAATAAATAAAACAAAACTACCTGCCGCTTACACTTGGCTCATAAAAACACATCGGAGCCTAACTGGTTTTCCAATAGACACTTCTGGCCATGAGTTTTTCTTTTCTTTTCTTTCTTTCTTTCTTTTTTTTTTTTGTAAGATTTTCCTATGCAAAAGGTTCTTTCAACTAAGTTTGCTATCAAAAGAAGCATTTACCCGCTGCTTAAACAAAACAGATTTGATTGTCTCCTGTGTTACCTCCCATACCCACGGTGAGTCTATGGATAATCAGACATGAAAAGGAATATTTACCCTCCCACAGGTTATATTTTTGTCCATGCCTGCCTGTAGGCAACCTTGGATATTTGACTGCCTGGATAACGTAGTTTTTGAATGTTGGTGAAGTCTGAAGCCAATGGCCAGGAAATAATTCTTGAGACCTCTTTGGTGCAAAAAAAGTGCTTTTCTTTTTTTTTTTTTTAAGATTTATTTATTTATTGGGGGGGGGCAGAAGCAGGCTCCACGCAGGAAGCCCAACGTGGGACTCAATCCCAGGTCTCCAGGCGGCGCTAAACCGCTGCACCACCGGGGCTGCCCTAAAAAGGTGCTTTTGTGAAAGCAGGGACAGGACCCGTGGGCAGGAAGAGCTGCTACACTGGGGTTGTGAGGAATGGCTGATTCTATACTCAGGAGTCAGGAGAGATAAGGAAAAAGTGAGATGTCCAAAAGGACTTTGATGTGCTAAGGGAGGCTCTCAGGATGCTGGAGGCCTAGCTATTGTCAAGCTGGATTGTTTTTCCTTCTAGTAAGGCATTAACATGAAGACAGTTGGGAGCTTCCTGGAGGAATGTCCTGCTCTCCTTGTCAATGGGCTGCAGGTCATAAAGACATTTAATTGTTTACCTTCCCTTTGGCCTCTGTTTCCTCAAGGGAAGGGAGAGTGATATTAGGGCTCCAGGAAATTGAATTCTGTTTTTCTGGGAGTTAGGCTATTGATAAGAAGGCTTTTCCTTGTAATAAGACATTGGAAAATGATAGAGACTCCTGTCTTGCGGGACTGTGATCTCTATTAGTTAACCATTTGTTTTCCCTTCCCTTAGGTTTAGGACAGCCAATAATGCCTGAGGAATGTCACACATATTCCAGCTTGGGCGGGGGGGTGCAGGGTGTCAGCTTGTGCTTTGTCCTCAGCTTGCCTTCAGCTCCCTCATCGTAGACAGTCAGAGAAGGACAGGACACCGTCTCCTAAAAACTCCAGTTTCTCCACTGTATTTCACTTGGTCACAGGGATCTCTCCTGCCCTAAATACTCACCACAGAAGCAAGCAAGCTCCATCCTTTATCAATGACCACCCAGGTGACGACTCCTCCAAACAAGAAGACAGTTGTTAGGGACATTCTCAGGACTGTGACCTCCCACAGGGTACAGGATGTATCCTTCATCACAGGATGAAGGAATGGATTTCCTTAGAACTGGGGATCTTTTTATTCTGGGAGGATCTGCTACAAATGCCATGATTAGGAATCTGTCCTGGACTGTTAATAGAACCGCCAGGTCCACAGCGAGGGCCATAGAGTGCAATGGTCTCTAGGTTCTCGGGCCTGAGTCGTGCTAGGTGGCAGAGGCCTTTGGGCTACTTGCTCCAGGAGTCTGGGTCACCCCGGGACTTCCTGCTGTACCAGGTAACACTTCACAGACAGGCTCAGTGGAAAACTACCAGAGTGCTTAAACTTGCCCTTATTAAAAGGAGTTTCTTTGAGCTCTAGAAGTCGATTTAGCTTTTAAGTTTTCAGACCTTTTCAGTGGAGCCCCACAGGACGTGGAGCCCATGCAGGATCCGGATTCCAAATAATATTCATTATTGTACTTATGTTCTCCATTTTTATTATAATCAAATAACTGATGTTCTGTGTTTTTTCGCCGTTGCTTAGCCAAAGGCTTCGCATGACCTTCCGCATCTGTGACCTTTGCCTTCCCTCCTCTGCGGTATGTGGCTTGTAGGAAGGGGTCTTCGAGCCTGGTGGACCCAGATGGCCCGACGGAGAGCACGAGGGTCAAGGGGGGGCAGCACGGGGCGATCCCTGCGGGGGGAGGACGGAGCCCGACGGCGCCCGGAGCCCCAGCTGTGGACGGCTCCTGGGCCCTGGCGGTCCCGGGGCGCAGGTGGATGTCCAGCGGGGACCACGGCCCTGAGCCAGCCCTGAGCCAGCCTTCACCTTGCGAGGCGGCTCGTGTCAGCCTGCGAGGATGCCCCTCCTGGTTCCCGGCCCCTCCTGGTCCCCGGCCCCTCCGCGGGGAGCTCGCTCCGCCGCCCCCGAGTCTCCCGGGTCTGCGCTCGCTCCTCTCCGCTGTGCACGCTGTGCACGCGGGCACCGCCTCGGGCTCCGGCTCCGTCCTTCGGCCCCGGCGGCGGTGGCTGCTGTGGCCGCGAGCGGCGGGCCTCGGGCTGCAGCGGTGCAGGGGCTTCCGCGGGGGAAGGCGGGGTGGGGGGGAGGGGAGAGGAGGGAGGAGGCAGGGGAGGGGGGAGGGGGAGGAGGAAGGGAGGGGGAGGGAGGAGGGAGAGAAAGCAGGGGGAGGGAAGGAGAGGGAGGAGGAAGGAGGGGGAGGGGAGGAGGGAAGGAGAGGAAGCGGGAGAGGGAGGGAAGGGGAGGGGAGGAGGAAGAGAGGGAGGAGGCGGGGGGAGGGGAGGAGGGAGGAGGGAGAAGGAGGGGGGAGGAGGAAGAGAGGGAGGAGGCGGGGGGAGGGGAGGAGGGAGAAGGAGGGGAGAGGAGGGCGGGGCGGGGCGGGGCTCTGGGGCCGGGGCTTAGGGCCCTGCGCCCTGCGGGAGCCCCGGGAGCGCGGCGGCGGCACCATGGAGAGCGGGTGAGGCGGCGGCGCGGGGAGCGAGCCCGAGGGGGCGCGGGGGGCGGGGGCGGGTGAGCAGGCGTCGGGGGCGCCCCAGCCCGACCCGACCCCCCTCCCCTCCCCGTCCCTCCCCCTCCCCTTACGTCCGTGGCCGGGAGCGCCGCCGGGTCTCGCAGGCCGAAGTTCAGGGTCCGCCCCGGCCGCGGAGCCCACTGACACGTTTTTTTTTAAGGAAATTAAGACCGGGGTGCCCGCCTGCGGCCCAGGGCGTGACCCCGGGGTCCGGGACCGAGCCCCGCGTCCGCCCCGGGGGGGGCTCCTCCTCGGCCCGGGTCTCCCGCCCGCGTGTCTGACGGGAGGGCGCGGACGGTCTTTAGGAACAAAACGTGCGGTTTTAGGTTTGAGCGTGCGGGAGGGGGCGGAGCGAGGACCGAGCCCCGCGCAGCAGGTCGGGGCGGGGGGGGGGGGCGCGCAGGGGTGTGGGGGGCTGGGGCCCAAGGAGGACGGCGTTGCTGGCCAGCTGGGTGCCATCTGGGTGACCCCCCCGCGGTCCCTCCCCCTCCATGATCCACCCCCCTCCCTGGACCCTCCATGGTGCCCCCCCCCGTCCACACTCCGTGGTCTCCCCTCTATGGTCCACCCCCCTCCCTGCCCCCCCACCCTGGTCCCCCCAGTGGTCTCCCCCTCCCTAACCCCCCCATCTCTGGTCCCCCCCCGTAGTCCCTCCCCCCTTGGTCACCCCCGTGGCCCCCCCACCCCACCTCTATGGTCCACACCCCTCTCCCTGATCCCCCACTCCGTGGTCCCCCCCACCGTGGTCCCCACTCACCCCCCTCTGGTCCACACCCCCTCCTTGCCCCCCCATCGTGGTCCCCTCCCAGTGGCCTCCCCCTCCTTGACCCCCCCTGTAGTCCCTACCCCCGTGGCCCTCCCTGTGGTCCACACCCCCTCCCTGCCCCCCCCCCCCCCGGTCCTTCTCCCCCCCCCCCCGCCGCCTGGTCCCCCCCAGTCCCCCCCAGCGTGTGGGGTGCGGAGCAGGGGTGGGAGAGGGCCGGCGCACTTCCTGGCAGGGCGGGGCGGGGGTAGGGCAGGGGCGGGGCGGGGCTGGGCCCCCGGGCCGCGTCGGTGGGGTCAAGGCCCTGGGGCGCCCCGCCCCCAGAAGCGCCCCCTCCCGGGGCACCCCTGGCACTGGCGGGCGGGGGAAGACTTTGAAACAGGTTATTGGCTTGAAAAGATACAACTGAGACTAGAAGCCAGGGTGAGTTGTGCTTTCCTCTAGGCCAGAAATTCCTAAACCTGTTTGTTTTTTAAAGCTGGTTTTTAATCAGAATTTCCTAAAACACTTTTGTGAAAAATAGAGCCTGGGGGCCCTTGGGAGGCTCAGCAGTGGAGCATCTGCCTTCAGCCCAGGGCGTGACCCTGGGGTCCCAAGTCGGGCTCCCTGCAGGGAGCCTGCTTCTCCCTCTGCCTGGGTCTCTGCCTCTCTCCGCGTCTCTCATGAATAAATAAAATGTTAAATAAAAAAAGGAAATTGTATTTATCCCTGCCCTCAAGTTAGTCTTAACTACATTTTGAGTATCTTAGTGATGGAAGGGGTAGGAGGATTGCTTTGGGCTTGTCGCTGCCCTAAATAGGTCTTAATCCTTAGACCCACCCTTTCATCTCCTTGATTTGATTATTCCACTGTACTCCCCTGTGGGCTCTGGTCCCTTCCTCTCTTGTGCAGAGGTATCAAACCTGCCACTGAGGGCACCTGGGGGGTTCAGCTGGTTGAGTGGCTGCAGGGGGCGGGGAGTGTGTGTGTTGGGATGAGTCCCGAGTCCCGAGTCCTGAGTCCTGAGCCGGGGCCCCTGCTCAGCCAGGAGCCTGCTTCTCCCTCTCCCTCTGCCGCCTTCCTGCTTACGGCCTGCGTGCTCGCTCTGTGTGTCCAACAAACCTGCCAGTGGTACTAAAACGGAAGTAGGGCTGGGGGATGGAAACGTAAGTGTCATTAACTTTTGCAGGGCCCTGGAATGCGGAGGGAGTTTCCTGGGGCCTTTGGGTGGGTGTGATGCATGAAAGGGAGTTGGGGGGGGGGGGGCTAGCGCGGCCCCTCCGAGAGCAGCGATGTGGGCCTTGGCAGCTCTGGGGCTAGCTTCGGTGACCTCAGCCACCCGGCACAGCCACCAGGCCTTCGTGCACTGAGGGTCATGAGTCTGCGATGCCCTTGTGACAGGAGAGAAACTTCCTTGGTTTTTCCTCTTCTCCTAGATTTACGTATGAAGACTATCAGAACACCACCAAGTGGCTTCTGTGCCGCACCAAGCACCGGCCGCAGGTGGCGGTCATCTGTGGATCCGGGTTGGGAAATCTGGCGGACAGACTGACGGAGGCCCAGAGCTTTGACTACAGCGAGATACCAAACTTCCCCCGTAGTACAGGTATGGCTGGGCCGGGCCGCGCTCGGCTGCGGGTCCCTGGGACCGCGGGAGGCAGCGCCTGCCCACACGCAGGCTGTCCTCTGCACTGGGGACAGTGGCTTTGGGGAGGACCAGCCCTCCAGGAGCCGGAGGGACTGCAGAAGGAAACTCCCGCGGGAGTGATTTCACAGTAGACGGGGCGTGTGCGTGGGGGGTACCACGCGGTGACAGGCTTCCATGCTGCCCTGATCACGACCCCCAGAAAGCTCCGCAGCACCTGGCCCACCTGCTCCCCACCCCACCACGAGGTTGCTGCATCCACGCGGCCCCTCTCCCCGCTTTCCGGCTGCAGATTAGATGGGTACAGTGGTGCCTGCAGCCCCGACAGTCTGGCAAGCCCTGCCCCGCGTCTTCCTGCCCTTTGCAGCCCCGCCTTCCCCTGCTCTAGCTCCTGCCTCAGGACGAGGCACCCGCTGGTGCTGAGCAGCAAAAGAACACACGGGCTGCCGTGTTCCTGCTGACAAAAGACACATAATGCATGACTAGGCGAGACCTAATGCTACTGACCCTTTGGAGGGGGAGAGGAGCAGACCTCCTGGATGCTCCACAGGTAGCATATCAGCATCCCAGGAGCTGCCGGGACAGGCCAAGGCTCCCCCGAAAAGAGGCAGGTGGGGGAACCTGGTGTATGCAACACTTGGTCACGGGGCAGGACCTCGAGTCCCACGTTGGGGTGGAGTTTACTTAAAACTGGGGAGAGGCCCTGCCTTCAACTTAGGAGCAAGAAAAACAACCATGTGGGGCAACACCCAAGTCCTCACTGCTAATAGGAGATGAACTTTTGAGCAGGTAAAGTTGCCCCTTGGTGACCCAGCCCCCTGCAGGATGCCGGGGTGTCGAGATCCACTCCTGCCCGTCCCCCTTTCACGCTGAGAGACTAGACTGGAGTGAAAGCCATAAACGAGGTTGAGTCGCAGCCTGTTACATATAAGAAATCGGATTAGCCCTCCCGGGTTTAGGGGTCCCCTGTGTTTCCCGACCTTTTTCTATTTATGGCCTCTGAAAGCGTACTTTCACCTAGGGTTCGTGAACCTTAAACTAATGACCTTAGCCAGTTCTCGTCCGGGGGTGGGGGTGGACCATGGAAAGCATGAGGGCCAGGTAAAATACGGGCAGAGGTAGTTTATTCGGTTTACTTATTAATTCTCAGATAACTGGCTTCAATTACTTTATTCTGTACACTTCCACCATCCTAACTCCTTTCTCTATAGAGCTAAAACTTTGCACAGTTGTTTTTCAAACACTTTGGAGCAAGATGGGGCAACCAGAGCAGGGAGGTGACAATGAGGGTCAGGAAAAGAAATATTAAAGAGAGGGAGGGCCAGGCACCCGGGTGGCTCAGAGCCATGGACCCTGGTTTCAACTCAGGTCTGATCTCGAGGTCGTGAGCTACCAGCCCAGCGCCTCCTGGCCGTCGATGCACAGTCTGCCTAAGACCGATCAATCGATCGAATCTCTAAGAAGAGACGGAGCGAGGGCAAAATTTTCTAAGAGGGATAGCAATGACCCTGGCTCCGTTCCATCCTACCCCCCACCCAAGGGCGCCGTACTTCAGTGATTAGTAGATTAACTTTTAAACTTTATCAACTTTTTTTTTAAGATTTTATTTATTTATGGGAAACAGAGAGGCAGAGACACAGGCAGAGGGAGAAGCAGGCTCCCTGGAGGGAGCCCGACGTCGGACTCGATCCCAGGACCCCGGGGTCATGACCTGAGCCAAAGGAAGACGCTCAACTGCTGAGCCACCCAGGCATCCCATAGGGGAATTTTTTTTAGAAATTTCTTTTTTTTTTTTAAGATTTTATTTATTCATTCATGAGAGACACAGAGAGACAGAGACACAGACAGAGGGAGAAGCAGGCTCCATGCAGGGAGCCTGACGGGGGACTCGATCCCTGGTCTCCAGGATCCCGCCCTGGGCCGAAGGCGGTGCTAAACTGCTGAGCCACCCGGGCTGCCCTAGAAATTATCTTTTTTTTAGAATAAAGACCTGCTGAGCAGGGAGCCCTATGCGGGGCTCCATCCCAGGCCCCCAGCAGACACTTAACCAACAGAGCTACCTGGGTGTCCCTCAACCTATTTTTTTTTTTAATACTCAGGATTTCCTAACTCTCATTTCCGCTGTATTACTGGTAATTTTTTTTATAAGGTCTTTTGTCTCTGGTCCCTCAACTCTTCCTCTTGATTTTGGTTCCTCTTTCTCACCACCCATTCCTCCGGGGGATGGGTGGCCGAGGCCATCAGAGGAGAAATGCCAGATAGGGAGGCGGTAATAGCGGCTATTATGTCCGCGTGGGGAGCGGACCCACACCCCTGTGGGCCCCACTGGGGGCCTGTATTCCCACAGTCATCCTGTGGGTCCAGACTCAGCGCCTTTGCCCGCTGTTCAGTAGCCTCTTTAGGGAGCTAGAATATACCACGAGCTCCCTTTCAAGAGTGAGGAGGCATTTGGTCTAGTGAGGGTAACTGGTAAGAATATACATTTTGAGCGACGTCCCGGTGGCTCAGCGGTTTAGCACCACCTTCGGCCCAGGGCATGACCCGGGGTCCCGGGATCGAGTCCCGTGTCGGACTCCCCACATGGAACCTGCTTCTCCCTCTGCCTGTGTCTCTGCCTCTCTCTCTCTGTGTCTCTCATGAATAAATAAATACAATCTTTAAGGAAAAAAAAAAGAATATACATTTTGAGAATCTTAAATTCTTGGAAAAGTGATCTAGGATGACTACATTCACTGCAACTATTATTGCTCACTTGTTTTGTTTTTACTCATTTTTATTCTCTGTAGTATGGCTTTCTCATTCTTTTCAAGTTTCTTTAAAAAAACCTTCCTCCTTTCCTTTGATACTTTGTTCACACAGAACATCCATATTCCCATAGCCTTGCTCATAGGATATACTTACATACTTAGTAGGCTTATGATTGATTTTTTTTCTAGTATTTAAAAAAGATTTTATTTATGCATGAGAGGCAGAGGGAGAAGCAGGCCCCGTGCAGGGAGCCCGATGCGGGACTCGATCCCGGGACCCCGGGGTCACACCCTGGGCCGGAGGCAGGCACTCAACCGCTGAGCCACCTGGGCTGCCCTGATTGATTTATTTCTGCCTCCATCAGATTTCAGCTTTCCAGGGATCCCTGGGTGGCGCAGCGGTTTGGCGCCTGCCTTTGGCCCAGGGCGCGATCCTGGAGACCTGGGATCGAATCCTGCATCGGGCTCCCGGTGCATGGAGCCTGCTTCTCCCTCTGCCTCTCTCTCTCTGTGTGACTATCATAAATAAATTAAAAAAATTTAGGGGGAAAAAAAAGATTTCAGCTTTCCGGACGAGATCATGTGTTGCTTGTCTGCATTATACCTCACACGTTGAGCACAATGAGTTGGCTCGTAGTGGTGCTCCGTGCACATGTCCCATGAAAGCATCACCCCATTTTTTTCTCCTCTGTTTTGCATCCAGTGCCGGGTCATGCTGGTCGGCTGGTGTTTGGGTTCCTGAATGGCAAAGTCTGCGTGATGATGCAGGGCAGGTTCCACATGTATGAAGGCTACTCGCTCTCGAAGGTGAATTGGGGGCGTCAGCCTGGAAGGTTGCAGAACGGGGGCAGAGAGGTCTCAGTCTTGTTTTATCTCTGAGCTACCTGGGCTATGTAGATTTGGGCCCCCTCCTTTTTCTTTTCCCGTGATAGACACCTTGCACAGCCGTGTGGCTGAATTGGTGAAATTTAAAAAAAACCCTTTCTGATCTTTTATTGTGCACCTGTAAGGTGACGTTCCCCGTGAGAGTTTTCTTCCTCATGGGTGTGGACACCCTCGTGGTCACCAATGCAGCCGGAGGACTCAACCGTGAGTTTGAGGTTGGAGATATTATGCTGATCCGTGATCACATCAACCTACCAGGCTTCAGTGGTTGGAACCCCCTTCAAGGGCCCAATGATGAAAGGTGCGTATCTGTCTGTTGAGTTGAATTTAACTTCATTATTTTCTTATAGCTGGATAGGGTCTAAGGACGTGGGTGGGAATTAGGAGAGAGCTCATGTGGTTCCAGTAACCTGAGATTGCAACCTGTGCCCTAGGTTCGGAGTCCGTTTCCTTGCCATGTCTGATGCCTATGACCGGGACATGAGGCAGAAGGCTCACAGTATCTGGAAACAGATGGGGGAGCAGAGAGAGCTGAAGGAAGGCACCTATGTGATGGTGACAGGCCCCACCTTTGAGACCGTGGCCGAGTGTTCCCTGTTGCAGCAGCTGGGGGCAGATGCTGTTGGTGAGACGGGGGACACGGCTGGAGGGCTGAGACAGAGGGACTTACCAAACAGGGACGGAAGAGGGTAAAAGATTTGAGACCTAAGTGGCAGTCTGAGAGACTGTCTGACTCAGGGAAGATTGAGTTAAACTGTTCTGGGGGGGGTTTAAAAAAAAGATTTTATCTATTTATTCATGAGAGAGAGAGAGAGGCAGAGACACAGGCAGAGGGAGAAGCAGGCTCCCTGCGGGGGGGCCCGATGCAGGACTTGATCCCGGGACCCTGGGGTCACGCCCTGGGCCAGAGGCTGACGCTCAACCGCAGAGCCCCCCCAGGCCTCCCTCCATGACTGTTTCTAAAGATTATCCTAAAAAAATATATTATTAATAGCCACTCTCTGTACCTGGAAGATGGAACTGCATCATTAGAACTGACTTCGAAATGACCAGAAACAGGTCTAGAAATAACGGTAACGTTTGTAAGAAGTGTGTAAAGCCCTCCAGGCCCTCCGAGGCCCCACACTTGTTTAAGCAATACAGAGAAACCTAAGCTGGGCAGGAAACGAGCCACTTCTGTGGAGGACTTTTTTGAGCCGTTAAATGGCCAGTGGGGTCACGAGTGGAGATGAGGCCAAAAGCTGAAAAGTCGTTCGAGGATCCTGACAGTGGTTTCCCTTTCTCCTCATCAGGCATGAGCACGGTGCCAGAAGTCATAGTCGCGAGGCACTGTGGACTCCGGGTGTTTGGCTTCTCTCTCATCACTAACAAAGTCATCCTGGATTATGAAACCCGGGAGAGGGTGAATCATGAGGAAGTGCTAGAGGCGGGGAAACAAGCTGCACAAAAACTGGAACAGTTTGTCTCCCTTCTCATGACCAGTATCCCGCCTCCCGGCAAAGCCAGCTAACCGGCCGTGCAGCGCCTGGCCTCCCCCTATGGGATCCAGTGCCTACTACCTACTTGGGCCCTTGCGGGGTCCCGTGCCTCTGTCCTTAAGTAGTAGGAGAAAGGAGAGGAGGATCCCCGTCTTTCGCCCTCCCCGTTGCTGTCACCCCCCTTCTTCTCCGAGAGCTAGCGCTGAGGCCTGCCTCGCACACGCCCGGGCTGGTGAGCCTGTTGAGCTTGGCGCGGTAGCTACTGCTGCGCTTTAGAGACCTTGCTTTCACATTCCTGGGCCCGTGGTGCCCCCTGCAAAGCACCAGAGCCCGCACAAGGGCCGGTCCTGCCCGATACCTCGTGGGCTTTAATATCACTGTATTCCGAGAATAAAAAGAAGGATGAAATGGCATCTTCATTTTTGTGCCGTTTGGGGTGAGACGAGGGGCCCAGGCCCATGTTGGCGGGAAAGACTGAGGTGACCCGTGTGGTGTGACGGCTTCTGACACTGGCCGCGGGGGGCTGGGAAGAGGTGGTGTCGGAACGCGTGGAAGAACGGCCAAGCCAGGGAGGAGACCTCCCGATGTTGGGAGCTGAAGGAGGGGCTGACGCTGAAGGAGGGGCTGACGTCTGACACCAGAAGGAGGAGGGGAAGCCCGGTGTACCTCACCTCACCGTTGCGCCTCTGTCCTCCGTGTCCCCGTCTGCACTACCGTGGAACCTGACTTGGTTCCCTGACCTCAGCTGTTCCCTGGGTGCCACTGCCTCCTTAAGCCCCGACGGTATTTCCTGTCGAGGTCTGCCCCTCTGGACCCTCACCTCCCCGTAGTTCTCCGCACCCCTCAGCACCCCTCGTTCCTTCTCTCTCTCCGCCACCAGCCACCGCCCAGATCAGAGTCCCGCCAGCCCAGGCCAGTCTGGCCCCTTGGCTCCTCCCTCCTCCTCTTTGAGCGCCTCCTTCCCTCCTGTTGCTTCCTCCTGGGTTCTAACCCTCCTCCTCACTTGTCCCTCGAGCCTCCCTGTGACCCCGTTGGGGCATTGCCCTTGGCCGGCTCACTGCACTATTACCTGGCTGTTACCTGCGCGGAGCAGTTTGCTGCAGAACCACACCATCTTTGCCTTTTGAGAAAAGATCAAGTTGGATGAGCCACTCACTACGATATGTCAGTTGTCCATTGGAAATTTCGAAAACCTCTCAAATCATCCTTGGTTTGGTAAATGACCTGTCAACCTGAGCCCAGTACGAGGAAAAAAGCTTCTGGAGTGGCCCCTGTCCCCACTCTTTGTTTTGTCATTTCTTTGTACCTCCACCAGCTCTAAAACCCTACGTGGGGGGATCTCCGGGGAGCTCAGCGGTTGAGCTTCTGCCTTCAGCCCAGGGCGTGACCCCGGGGTCTCGGGATCAAGTCTCACGTTGGTCTCCCTGCAGGGAGCCTGCTTCTCCCTCTGCCTGTGCCTGTGCCTCTCTCTCTCTCTGTCTCTCTCATGAATAAATAAATAAAATCTTAAATAAATAAATAGATAAATAGATAAATCCCTATGTGGACCTTTAGGCACTCAGCTAGCATCTGTCATGTGTCCATTAGAGAGCTGGTTTAGAGGGAAATACTATGTGTCCTTTAAATAATATACGGTTCTAACTTGTTCATCTAAGGAGACCGTTTATAAACATTTTTTAAAATCAAGTTAATGAATTCTATAACTCAGCCAAGAAAATGTTAAACTGGGAATATGACAATGGTCCTCTCAACCGCCCTTCAATCTTGAGACGCATACATGAAACCATTAACTTAATGTAAGCTGGTATAGAACATGTATGAGTTCCACAGAATGGAGCCCAAAGGATAAGCCAGTTGTATATACTGTACCCTGAGGATTGGGTCGTGGGATTCGATCCCGGGGCTCCAGGATCACACCCTGGGCCGAAGGCAGACACTCAACTGCTGAGCCACCCAGGTGTCCCTAAATGTTATTTTATTTTATTTTATTTTTTTAAACAAAAATGCATTTAGTGCCTTAATTCAAGAGTCTTAAGTTTTTTTAATTCTAAGTTAAAGTATGAAAAATGAGATTTACACAAGTGTTTCTTATTATATTCATGTTGGGACTTTAAATATGCCCCCGTGGTGACAGAAAACGAACATTGTTCACAGTAACTACTATAAACTAGGGTGTGATAAGGATAGCAGGTGTAGGCACATAATATCTAATCATAAGTAATGTGTACTCTGCATTCAGGTAGAGTACTAGGTTCAAGGTGTAGGAGTTGAAGGGAGAAAACCTGAGCACAGAGTGCTTTCCGTTTCATTTTTAGAAGCACCTTTATTGAGATAATTCACATGTATTAAAATTCATTTAAGAGAAATAATTCAATGGTGTCTAGTAGAGATAGATAACATATCAGGTAACAGAATGGTGCTTAGTAGCACTGATAACAGATAAGTGCAGTCATCCCCACTTTTAGGTGAATTTTAGAATATTTTCATCAACTCAAAGGGAAATCTTGTACTTATTTACTCTGCCCCCAACACAACCTAGCCCCAAGCAGCCACTAATCTATTTTCAGCTCCATAGATAGAACTCCCATGGACTTTCAAATAAAGGGAATCCTATATGGGATCATGTGGCCTTTCTATCTGGCTTCTCTCACTTAGCATGTTTTCAAGATTCACCCAAGTTTTTTTTTTTTTTAAGATTTTATTTATTTATTCATGAGAGACACACACACAGAGAGAGAGAGGCAGAGACACAGGCAGAGGGAGAAGCAGGCTCCATGCCGGGAGCCCGACATGGGACTCAATCCCAGGTCTCCAGGATCACACCCCAGGCTGCAGGCATCACTAAACCACTGCACCACCAGAGCTGCCCAAGATTCACCCAAGTTGTAGCATCTTGTCCGTGCTTCGTTCTTATGACCAAGTAAGACTCCACTGCATGGAAACACTGGTTTTGGGGATGCCTGGGTGGCTCAGCGGTTAGCGCCGCCTTCAGCCCAGGGTGTGACCCTGGAGACCCGGGATCGAGTCCCACATCAGGCTTCCTGCATGAATCCTGCTTCTCCCTCTGCCTGTGTCTCTGCCTCTCTCTGTCTCTCCGTTTCTCTCATGAATAAATTAAAAAAAAAAAAAAAGAAACACTGTGTTTTATCAACTCTTCAAAGTGTCAACCAATTGGATCAGTTTAGGTGAGCAAGAGAATAAAAGCAGAAAGTCAAGGGGTATAGGTCTCGGGATACTCTCCAGGGAAGGGTAGTTCTTGAAAACAGCCCGTGATGAGTCTACTGCTCTCTAGAGAGGCCTGCAAAATGGGTCGATTTTCTTACATCTCAGGACAGGTGTCAAAACACACTGCAAGGCAGGCTTCCTGCCCTGGCCCTATCATGGTCATCTTCATCAACACCAGTAATGATCATTAATCATGTACTTTGTATAGAACATTGTCCTAAAAGCCATACAATAAATTGGTAAAAAGACAAGGGCTTCCAATCTAAGCAGGAGACCGGATATATCTCAATCAGGGACACCTGTGTGGCTCAGTTAAGCGTCTGCCTTTGGCTTAGGTCATGATCCCAGGGTCCTGGAATCGAGCCCTGCATCAGGCTCCCCGCTCAGCCTCTGCTGCTTCCCCTGCTTGTGCTCTCTCACTCTTTTCTCTGTCAAATAAATCTTAAAAAATAAAAGCTGAATCCGTTGTGCCCTCTAGACCTACTTTTAGTCTTTTCCTATGTTGTCATCATTTGGAAAATTTTTGGAAAAGGAACATGTGAAAAGTAGTATATGCTAAGTGCCAATGATAACATGTGCTGCAGGGATTCAAAGAGAACCAGCGTGGCTGGGAGGGGGAGGGCACCGTGAAACTTGGATTAGGCCTTGCAGGAAAAATACGACAGAAGGCACCCCACGGAGGCAAATTCAGGAATGTTTGACCACCGAACAGAATAAAATGGCAAAATTGAAGAATTTGTAAATGGGAGCAGTGGGAGATAAGGTGGATGGGGCTGGATTGTTCAGGGGTGTGATTCCAGGCTGGGTGAGATCCACCTTCTCTAGGCAAAACGGCCAACCATGGAAGGCTTTTTAAGTAGGGTTGATGGGGATTCCTGGGTGGCTCAGCCGTTTAGGGCCTGCTCTTGGCCCAGGGCGTGATCCTGGAGACCCGGGGTTGAGTCCCACATCCGGCTCCCTGCATAGAGCCTGTGTCTCTGCCTCTCTCTCTTTCTGTGTGTGTCTCTCATGAATAAATAAATAAAATATTAAAAAAAATAAGTAGGGACTGATGAGTGAAAATCACACTACTGTTTTGATGGATAGAAGTCAGACTGGAAAAAAAAAGAAGTCAGACTGGAAGCAGAAATGGTTGCTTCGGTGTTAGAAACACTTTCACACCAAATTAGCTAAATAAAAAAGCATAATTGGTTGTATTAAGTATTTAATTTTTAATCAGGTTGGTCTTTTGTAGTGCTTAAAAGAATACAGTGTTATAAAATATAAAGGCAAAAGTACAAGCAACTTAGAAATGAAAATATAGGGCAGCCCGGGTTACTCAGTGGTTGAGCGCCGCCTTCAGCCTGGGGTGTGATCCTGGAGACCCTGGATGAGTCCCGCATCGGGCTCCCTGCCAGGAGCCTGCTTCTCCCTCTGCCTGTGTCTCTGCCTCTCTCTCTCTCTCTCTGTGTGTGTCTCTCATGAATAAATAAATAAAATCTTAAAAAAAAAAAAGAAAATGTACACCGAAGTCAAGTTAGTGGTTTTCTTTTTTTTTTTTTTTAGATTAAAAGTTTGAACATAGTTAAAAACCTAAGTGACGTAAGATGTGCACAGTGAAGTTTCAGTTCCATCCTGTTCTCCATCTGCCTTTCTTCCCCACCCCACTGGTAACCCCGTAATAGTTTCTAGTGCATTCTTCCTGGATCTATTAAAAAAATTAACAAATGCAAATACATATTTCTTATTTTGGCCCCTTATCATCCATCGAAGTCCATACATTATGTGCGTTGTTATGCATCTTACTAGTTTTTTTTTACGTCTTGGAGGGGTTTTGCATCCTTAATGTGCTTCCTGGATGACTTAGGTCAGTGCTGCAAGGGCACATGTCTGTCACCTCAGGGTTTGTAGAAGCGAGGAAGAACATGGCCTTACTGAGTTTTAGCCGCTTCCCGGTCCATTTGCTGCTTGCCATTAGGATAGAGACAGAGACACCACTATCTGCTGTCCCTTTAAAACAAGAGGGTGGTAGAGAACAGAGCTGTTTCCTCTGCAGGGTACCCTCTGTCTAAATCTGATTTGGCTTGGATTTTCATTCCTTTTTCCTTTGTAAACTGGCATCTGCTTTTTGTGACTCCTTTGTGTTTCTAAAGGACATCTTCTGAACAAACACTGGCTCTCTGCCTGATTTTTCTGTTGTTGTACACTT